AAAAAATCAGAACAAATATTTTCAGCCATGCAAAATCTGAATGTTTACATATTGACAGCATTTGGGCTCTTGAACCAGCTAAACACAGCTTAAGACCTGTGAGTTTGTACCACCACTCACCAGTTAACGTGCTTTTTAGAACCAGGGCATGTCAAAATCAAAATGCCAGAGACCTTTGGGTTTCAGGATCCCGCTTACTAGATCTAGCTGTTGTTTAGCCACTTTAGACAAGATTGGCATCAAACTAACAAGTACATAAGGCTGTTGAAGGAAAGGCCACTTCTTCTCTTCAGTAAAAAGCAAAATGAGGGCCGCTGTGGAAGAAAGGATTTGCAACCTCTTCTTCCCCTCCTCCCCATGCCCCAAACTCCAGCTTTTCTGCACAACAAGAAGTTCTACATCTGGCAATGTCAGGCAGAAGCCTTTGTTCATAAATCAAAGGCAAAATGTGCTCCCATCACCCTGTGCCTTGGGACCCCTCACATGTTTTACCTCCCTCCCCCAGGTTTCAAGATCAAAGGGCTGCTCCTCGGGCTTGAAACACCTAGGAGAAGCAAGAGGCTAGTTTATCAAGAGGATGGCACCTTGGTCAGAAGAAGAAAGAGATGAGGAAAGACTTTGCTTTTCTTCCTGAAAACTCCACTCTTCCCCAATAGTCACAGATACAGCTCCACTAACCTCTGTCCACAACATTCACTCAGCAATCTTCTCAACAAAAAGCAAGTGCTTTTGCCTCACAAGTTGAGTCCTGCTGTTACTTACTATTTATTACAGAGGGATCTCACCTTCCTTTCAATGAATTCAAGATGGTGGCAACGTATCTCCCTCCATTTTATCCTCACAAAACCCTCTGTAGGGTAGGTCAAGTTGAGAACATGACAGGCTCAAGTACGTTTCGTGGCTCAGTGGGAAGGAGGACTCTCAGCCCCTAGGCACCCATTAGTCCCTAGAGTGGCTATTTCATTTTAGACATTTATATCCCCCCTACATCTTATGATGTAGGTCCTACATCATAAGATGTAGGGGGGAGTGCAACAATAAAAAAATTAAAAAACACAATATTTTTAAAGCCTTCAAATACTTTTAAAACATGTTAAGCATCACACCAAAATGCTTCTCCATTATGGCTTTTACCTTGAGGAGCTATTATGAGAAAGGGAGCCCTCTTAGGATTGCTATAAATCGGTTCTGAGTTGGGAGCACAGAACATACACATAAGTGTGCTGGGTTTTTTTTTTAAAAACATTTTATTAGTCTTTTATTCCCTGTTAGTCTTTGAGGTACTAGATAAGGTCAACATGAGAATTAACAAATGGATGTCTGACTTTTGCCACTTATGTTTCAGAACACCATCCCTCTTTCCCATTGATGTATTTATTCAGATTCAAATTTTAATATGTTGAGATGAAAACCTAAAGCTAATGGCTAATCCAAGCAAGAGTAGGTAGGCCCACTGGATCAAGGGGATCTACGTAGTGTCAACACAGGATTCAAGGGCAAATTTAACAGGCCTACTCCAGTTGGCACTATGGCTTTACATTCAAGTCCTTTTCTGGTCAGTCTTGTAGGGCAGTGGCACTCAACCCCTGTTCTGGAAGAGGACAGAGATGTTCAAGTTCAAAAATAAAGGTCATAAATAAAGATGGGCATGAACCGGCAGAATGGTGGTCGATGATGGTTTGTGGTTCATGGATGTCTTATCTGGTACCTCAAAGATGAAGTTTATTGTTTTATCTATTCAATAGCTTTAAATCTGGATCCCGCTCAATGAATGGGACCAATTGCACTGGGATGCAGAGAAACGTTTTGGGTTTTTTGTTTTTTTTTAAAAAAAGCATCCTTATTGAGAGATCTTTTTGAACTAACTAATTAAAACCTGTTAGAAATTGTGCTGCCCTCTCTGGGATGAGATTCCAATTTCAGGATAAATTCTTTGCATTGTTACCGTGGACGGGGTTTGTTGTTGTTTGGTGGAGGTAGGGATTTTCCAAATCAACGACCCAGCGGCTTTCCTCCGTTCTCTCTCTCACACCCCCCCTCCGCCTTTCTTTTCTTTCTTTCTTGCTCAGTTTAAAGTGTGTGCGGGGCGGGGATCGGGGGGGGGGAAGGACTGTCATTATCCCCATTTCCAGATTCCTGTTTGAAATTCGTGATTCAAGCCGGAGGACATTTAATAGCTGACTGGATTAAATAGAGCAGACTCCAGCCTCCTCTCTCTTTGAAAAGACAGGTCCCGGGGTTGGGCCTAAATTCGCAGGATGAAAACCGATCTATGATATATGTTTTAAGTTTAGATCTGAGAGGAGAAGGAGCGAGCGAGAGGGAGGGAGGGAGCCGCGGAGAGAGGAAAAGCCCGCTCGGGTCTGGATCTGGTTTATATTGGTGTAAAGCCCTTGAAGTTGAAAGGTGCTCCGGGAAGCTCGCGAACGAAAAAAAGAGGGGGGGGGGAGAGAAAAAGAAAATAGGGATGGGGGAAGGAAGGAGGGGGAGACTGAGGCGCATCCGCGGCATAACTGAAATATTTGATTATGCTACATCTCCACGTGGCTTCACAACTTGCCTCCCCCCATCCCACCCCACCCCAAGGCGTCAGCGGGACAAGGCGAGGCCATTGCAAAGCGAGAGATGGAGAAAGGAAAGAGAGTGTTTCTTAAAGTTGCATCGAAGAGTTCAGTCTCCTGTTTTTTTGGGGGGGGATGCGTTTTTGGAGCCGCAAAGCCCGGCTTGCCTTAACTCGAGCTCAGTAGAGTTTCTTTCTTGGACTACAACTCCCAGAATCCCTGCGAAAGTGCCTCTGGCTAGGCGCCTCTGGATTTGTAGTCCCAGCGAAAAGAGCTTTTCCCCATCTCCGGCATCCGCGATGAGCCCCCCCCCCTCCCGCCCTCGTCGTTCGCACTTGAAAAGTTTCGAGGGGACACGAACGTCTCCACTAGCACGACGCAGGCAGGAAGCCCTTGGGCGTCCCTTTAGTTCCTGGGTTCCCTATACAAGGTGTCTTTCCTCCTAAAATGGTCGAGGCCGCCCGTATGTTTCTTCTCGGCCTACCTTTTTAATCATCACAACAACCCTGTAAAGGGAGATCGGGCCGAGAGGTGAAGACCGAGCGCTGGCCCTGCTTCCTAGTTTGGAGGAATTCGAACTCCGAGCCAGACCATCTTCACCCGACATTTCTGACCACTGCCGCACGTTGGCTCAGAAAGGGTGGGTTTTACTATGGCAATTCAATTGAAAAGTCGGGCATCGGGTAGGATTACTTTAGATTAGATATTGTAAACTCAAGGGCAAAAAAAAATTGGTCAGTAAAACTCCTGGAAATCTTTGGGCCAGAATCGTATTCCAGCTAAAGGCGTTAGTCAACCGTTTACAAGCACCAAATGGAACAGCTAATAGAGAGAAGAGGAAGCTGGTGGGGTGGGGGCTCCGCCAAGGTATCCCATTTGTTGTGGTGGCTATAGCCATTTGAACTATCCTTTCCCCCAGGATTAAAAAGGAAGGGCAACTGGCCGAATTATAAAAGGCTAGGACATCCAGGCGCGATCCTATGCTCGCTTACTCCGAAGTGCAAATTTAAACAAAGGAGATGCAGATCTGAGCCACCTGGTCAACATCTTCTAAAGCAAACAAATTAAAATCCAGAAGGATCTTCAACAATATATACAGAACCAGCCCTCTGCACTGAATACTGCACAGATATTCATCACAAGAAAAAAACATCCGTGATGCACAACTTACTTAAACAAAGGAGGAGCATTTGGTCTGCCCTGTTTACTCAGATTTTGTTTCAGTTGTGTTGTGCTGTTTTATATTTGTTTTGAAGTTTTATACTTGCCGTTTTATACTCGTTTTGCTTTGATTTTCCATGGCTCTCCCTGAGATTTCCGGGTACAGGGAGACTATTTGAATAAATAAAAGTAGAGATCCACCGAATTCAGTGGCACTGTTTTTTACCAGCTAAATTGCCGTCTTTGTCTCTTCACAGAGATCCACCGAATTCAGTGGCACTGTTTTTACCAGCTAAATTGCCGCCTTTGTCTTTTCACAGAAAATCATTATCAGCATCTTAGAACTGCAGATCTGGAAGGGACCTCGTAGATCATCGAGTCCAGCCCCTGTCAAGGAAGCACAAAATGTTCTCACACAGAGAGGGAAGGGGCACCTTAAAGGCTAACGCAGAATGTTGTGGTACCTTAAAGAGTAACAGATTGTTCCTGGCGGAACCTCTCATGAATTCTCTAATAAAGGGGTTGTGGATCCAAATGACTACCACAATAAATCTCCCACTATAGCAATCCTATGCATTTCTACGCAGAAGTAAATCTATTTAATTTACAGATAAATGAGTATCGGTCATGTCGTAAGACTGTCTTGTATGGTATTAATATCTTAAATTTTAAAACGTATAGTGCTATATAATAGGTGTCCCAGACCTGGCTTCCTAGAGATGCGTGGACTACGAATCCGATCCTCCCCAGGTAACAGGACCGATCCATCCGAGAGGGGCCAGGGAAGGCTGGATTAAATGAAGGCCACCGATAAAAGAAGCCGAGGGACCTTTCATTCTGCTTGTTATTTATGACTACCAGCTCCTGAATGAGGGAGAGGAATCATCTCACAGTGGGGGGAGGTGCAGTCCTGTTTTCTAAGAGCGATCGCACCTGATCCCGGTGGCGATGTCAAACTTTGTCAAGGAGTAATCCTAAGGCAGGGGTGTGCGGTATCTGTACTCGAATATAAGTCGGCAAGCTTGTGAGTCTTGCACAGCCCTTCATCAGGCTAAGCATCGCGGAGCTGAACCTGGGGCGGCGTAACACTGGCGAGTTTCTTTTATTAAGGGGCCGTGGATTTCTAACTCTCTCTATTTGTGCAGCGTCTGCTCTTCCCTCGTCAAAAAGTACGACCGGGGCATTTCGGAATAAAAGGGAGAGCCCTCCCTTCCAGTCGGATTTCCTCCTTAATGTGTAAAGGGAGGTTTCGTAGAACGGTGCCGGTGCGATCAGAGGCGCGCAGAGGCTGGACGTGGGGAGGGGAGGGGGGAGGCACGTTTACTTTTCCGAAGCGATCCCCGTTTGCTCAGCCGGCTTTTACTCCCTGGTAAGCGAGAGCAGCCTGCACCGGGGAGGAAGCGGGCGAGGTGGCATGTTGGGAGCGGGATTTCTGAATGGACGTGTGCTCCCGGTTAGCAACAGGCTGTGATCCTCCAGCTGTGTAAACAAAATTAAGAACTGAGTGAGGGCAGGTGTGGGGGGGAGGGGGAGGATGACTGCTGCCGTTCCACCTCCTCTGTGGACCGAGAAGGTTTTTTTCTGCGCATGCTCCGTTGGCAATAAAGCGGCGGGGGCCAAAAGGCGCAGCCTGGAGGGTCTCTCCTTTCTTTGGAGTTTTGCGCGGGACACTCTTCCGGCGCCCCCCAGACTCCAGAAGTGCCTGACAGAACTGGTTCGCCCCGCTCTTGGCCGTACTATGCATTACTACATAAGCGAAGCCTGGAGAGCACCCTAGGATGAACTCGTGTGGAGTTTGTAACGTGTAAACGTGGATCTCTGCCGGTCCGAGAAAGTGGTTCTGACACATTCGCGTGAACGGAGGGAGCTAAACTCAGGACGAAACTAAACGTCTGCCGAACAGAACCTGACTATTAAGCCTTTTCCTTCTTCCGCTGTCCTCCCGTCTCCTTTGTTTTTCTTCTATTATCACCTGTAAATCCCTCGGGGCGGGGATCGGATTCTTTTTCTTTCTTTCTTTCTTTCTCGGTAGGCCTTTATTTGACATTTGCAAGCACTGCACAAGCAAGAGCCACGGTTGATTGAGGTGGCGTTTAGCATCGCTCGTGATTTCTTAGAGGGAAGTATGCACATTTCATGCGCTTCGGAGCTCGGAGAAGATAGCCTCACCTGTTGAATCCCTGAATTCATATTTGCCAGGATAGCTAGTGGTTAGAGTGCGGGACGGTCCAGGATCTGGGAGATCCAAGGGCAGCCCCCCACTGAACGGTGAAACTGGGCGACCTTAGGTCAGTCACACGCTCTTTGGGTCTGACCTACCCCACAGGCTTGTTGTGCTGATAAAGAGAGGAAGGAGAACCAGGAGCGTTACTTTGATCTCTCCAAAGGCGGGAGAGCGAGCTAACGAATTAATAGGGTTTATACCGAACCTTCCATCCTAAACGTATTTTCTCTGCAGTAAGCTCTTATTTGTCTCGATGGAGACAGTTTCTCTAGGAAGCGTGCTTCGCACTGTGCCCTTATTTTAATTTATAGTTAAAATGGATGTGGGGAAGTATTTTCCCTTCATCTAACCACAGGGATCCAGCCGTGGGATAAAGAGGGAGGGAAGATGGATTGGGTTTTTTTAAATAATGAGGATGGTGGTGGTGTGCCATTAAGTCAATTCTAACATGGCGATCCCTTTTAGGGTTTTCCTGAGAATGCTCAAGAGAGTGGCTTACCATTCATTCCCTTCTTCTAATGACGTCCTGGGACTGTGCAGCTTGCCCAAGGCCACACAGGCTGGCTCCAGTTGCAGGAGACACAGCGGGGAATCGAACTCCCAACCTAAACCACGGAGCTATCCACCCAGCTCCCTTTTTGAGGGCCCCATTTTAAACACATACATTGTGTCCCGCAGTTTTTGGGAACCGATACCTACGTGCACAGAGCTAGAGCAGGAAAAAGTTACACTATTTTGGATTACCGCTCCGCTAATCTCCCTGCCAGCATGGTGTAGGGCGGGGAGATTAGTAGTATAGCCTGTCCCGGGTGGGTGGGATTCTGGAAACTGAGATCCAGAACAATACATTTTCCCCAGCTCTGTTTGTTCAAAACTGTGATACATTTTCCGAACGACATCCACAGCCACAGCCCGGAAAAGCCATGCACGAGCGAGAGTTCAAAACCTTTCGCAACGAGTTACTTGTAACGTTTCTCCGAAGCTGACGACAACCACAGGACCCAGCCGTTGAGAGGCGAGTTGGGCCGAGGAGCTGGTGGATTACCTCCAAGGCCACCCACTGGCTGGCTGTAGAGGATTTGCTTCCAGATTTTCCGTAGCTGAGGTCAACAGTGTGTAACTACCTGCGTTACACTGGCTTCGGTTCACAGGAACGACCTGCTCCGCCCCGCCCGCATCTTCCTACAGGATGACATTCTCAAAGATGCTCGGAATTAAAAAGAACTTTAGCTCCGAGTTCCCACCGAGAAAGGCACTTTCTGAAATTCATTCAATAACCTTTTGACTTTTCTGGACTGTTTCGCTGTCTCCCTCTCAGCCATCCTTACCGTAAAGCAATGGGAAAGTAAGTTGTTTTTTTGTGCCCGTTTTACAGAGGGAAAAACCGTCCTGCCAATGAAGGGTGCAAAACAGCGATGTTTAAGCCTCAGGTCGACATTTGACACCTCCACGGCGTGGATGACATCGATCCTTGTAATCACCGCGATTTGGTGTCTTCAGAGCCGAGGCTTTTCTTGTAAAGAAAGTAAGTGGCTTGCACCACCCAAATCAGTGTGCACACATCCACAGCTAAACACTGGCTTTCACGGGACAGGCGAAGGGCGTGTTTAAGGCTATATAATCTGGGAGGTGGTCGCGTTGAAGTATTAGGCAGGCCTATGTATCCCACTGAAGTCAAAGAAACTTAATAACAATCTTGGAAATCTTACCTTTTGGGGGATTTGGGAAGCTGTAGTCCAAAAACGAAACTTTTCTGAGACCTGCTTTTAAGTCTCATTGACTTCAGTGGGATAGACCCACTTCACTTTGTATGGATCTTGAACACCCAAACCATTTAAAAAGCCATAAATATATGATTTGATCTGGTTTTTCCCTATTATTTTCTATATATCTCTGAAAATGCCCCAAATCTGGCTTAAGCACATACAAAGATGTGCAGTGCCTGTCTTTACGTGTTCAAGTTAAAGTAAATCTCACTGTCTGCAATGGGCTTTCTCCGAGGCAAGTGTGCATAGGGTTGCATTGTATAGCATTTCAAAAACCCCTTCCAAAGAGCCTCAGTTCCAACAGATTTCTGCATAATATTTTGCCTTTGCTGGGGGAATCAGCATCTCTTATTTTAAAGTCACCTTTCTCTAAAGTGAGCCTGCTCAACAAGATCTAGTCCTAATATCTGTAACATCATGTTGGTCTTGTTTCTGTCACAATCCTGTATTGCACATAGGACAGAGCAGGTGTGAGGAAGCATGACCCAGATGTTGCTGGATTGCAGTAATTCCTCTCCCTTGGCTATATTAGCTGAAGCTACAGTCCAACAACATCTGGAAGGCTACAGTTGCCCATCTCTTCCACTGAGTAAGAGCAAGAATTTTATTTTCTTTATCTTCCAGCCAAAGAGGACTGGCAAACTCCCTATAGTTAGGCCATCAACTTTTAAGACAAGTGAGGCAATTGCAACGGCAGGGGGTATTGGTTTGTTGTTGTAATATAGGTGTATCTTCAATGCTCACTGGCCATGTTGGACACATTTTCCACCTCTTTTATTAAATATATTTACTAATCCATATCCACAGCCCCTTGAGATTCTTGTGGTGCAGTGATTAAACTGCAGTATTGCAGCCAAATCTCTGCTCACAACCCAGATTCAAAAGCTAGTTCATTCAGTCTTCCATCCTTCTGAGATCAGTGAATTGGACAATGTGTAGCCTGCATAATTAAATTGTAAACCATCCAGAGAGTGTTTTAAGTGCTATGGACTGATTGATAAGCAGTATGTTTTTTCACAGCTACGGTAGGCTTTGCTTTTGCTCTATATCATAGTGATGCAGTGTTTAGTTTCACTGTGGATTACAAGCCAGCAAGTAAAGATAAATCAAAGGTGTGCTCACACACAGAGTCAATGTGAGAAAACATTTTCATAGGAGCTTAGGAATAAGTGACTCAGCCTGGCCTGTTTCACAAGAGTGGTCACTAGTAAGAATAGAGCTGTACAAAGAAAAAGGATAAAAAAGAGTATGAGACCTTTGCAGTTAATTTATTTATTATGACGCAGAACCCACTTGTTCTTGTCCAATGTATATAGAACATTTCAAGGATTTCATTTCATAAAAGCCTTGAAAGTACCACAAGACTTTGTTATGCATCATCAAGTTGGAACTGACTTACAGTGACTCTGATATGACTTTCAAGGTAAGTGAGATATTTACCAATTCCAGTGAGTTTTCATGGCTCAGTAGGGATTCAAACCCAGACCTCAGAGTCCTAGTTAATCACTCGACTCATTATCCACCACAAGATTAGTTAGTAGAGTTCCCCCCCTCTGCAACAAATAACAGGATCCTTTTCTTCCAGAAATTGAATAAAAAGACCTAGCCCTGAATACTCATCTTAATCCAGAGTTTAAATTCATTTATCTGGAAACACTGAATCCCTTTTTACCCTGTGCTTCCTTGGAGAAGGTCACAATGACAGGAAGAGTCATTTTCAACCATGTATCCCTGAGAACCATCTTTTGGTATAGAGTGGGCAATGACATAATGAAACTCTGTGATTTGTGTGATAAGAAACTGACTTCTTGGTAAGGTGTGATAGATTCATTAGGGACAATTGAGTCTGGAGGGAATTCTGTGCAAAAGATCACAAGGAGCTATCAAGTCAGATCAGTTGCTCATCTAGCCCAGTATTATTTATTTATTTATTTATTTGATTTATATCCCGCCCATCTCGTATATTATACCACTCTGGGCGGCTAACAGCAATATGCATACAATTAAAATAATATAAATCCATAAACATCATTACAAACAGAACATTCCAAAAGATAATAGATGATAGATAGATAAAAGAGAGAAAAATTAAATTAAATGCTGGCAGGAGGGAAGGCCTGGATGTAAAGCCATGTTTTTAGTTGAGTTTTAAATGTACCCAGCATAGGGGCAGCGCGAATCTCAGGAGGGAGATTGTTCCAAAGGTGAGGAGCCACCACCGAGAAGGCCCGGTTTCGCATCTTTTCCCTCCGGGCCTCCCTCGGCGTCAGGCTCCTCAGCTTCACCTCCTGGCTCGCGCAGGTGATCCGGGTAGATCTTGGTGGGAGCAGGCGTTCCGCCAAGTATCGAGGTCCCAGTTTCACACCTACAAACTAGGGCTAGACAATTTCTGGCATTCCATATCTTGTTGGGCTGCAACTCCCATCAGCCCTAGGCAACATGGCTGATGGAGGAGGATGACAGTCATTGCAGTTCAAAATCTGGAGGGCCAAATTCACCTCTCTCTCTTTATATGTAGCTACAGTGCTCTAACGCAGAACTCAAGGGGCCAGTCACTTAATCTAGAACTGCATAACCATCACTGTGTTGCATCTCAAGAAACTCCTAATAGTCCAGATTTTAACTTGGAAGCCCTGCCAGCTTCATCATTTTTCTGCCATCTTCTCTCCAGCATTTCTGAAAACATAGGAAACCCATGCACATACACAAAGTACAGTATCCTCATCACCACCACTAATTTTAGGAGGCAGAGGGGGATGTTCAGCCCCACTGAACAGAAGGGAACATACTTTGGAGCAGCCATACATAGAACTGCATTGTAAGTTGGGCACAGATAAGTGAAAGCAGCCTCTATTGCAATGATCCTTAAAACTGAACTGCAAGAGGAATACACCAGGAGTCTGACTGTTTCCACAGTGAAAAATAAGAACATTTCGTTCCAGAGAAGCAGGCATAGGATCCTCCACTCACTGTCTATGAGAGTAACTCTCTTGGATTTTGGAAATGAGCAAACTCCTTACTGCCTTTATTTATGCCCTTCACCCAGACCGTGTTTTAACAGGAAAGACTCAAGCAAGTTCTCCTGGTCTCCTTGCCTTCAACTGACGGCCACGGGGTCCAGACGTCAAAACCTATTTACTGCGGGTTTCCAACAAGACTTACACACCGAGTAACGAAAACAGCAGGCCCAATAAACTGAGGTTCAGCACACTGGAATGCCAATCTTGCAACAGGCCAACAGCAACAACTCACTGGGTGACAAAAGAAAAAAAAACTGACCAGAAGCAGCTAGATTTGCGTTTCTGAAGAAAACGATTTCCCCAAGACAGGAAAATGAAACCTCATTTGCTTTTGGACAATGTGACATCAGAGCCCTGTGGCACCTGGAATACTAACAGATTTGTTGGGACAGCAACTTTGAGATACTTAATTAGCTCCCTCTTAGGCCACACTTACCACAGAGGAATCTCCCTTTAATTTAGTGGGACTTCTTTCTGGGAAGGCAGGCATACATATCACTGTGCTCCTACTAGTAAGGTAGTAAATTGCAGTCCAGGAACAATTTCTGCAAAGAGAAGTTGGAGATCCTATGGATGCTGTCTTGGGAGTAGGCCACATAATAGTGACTACAACTTTCTTGCAAGTAAAAACTATAATCTGGAACCTGATGAGTGTGAGTTCCATTGAACATAGTTGTGAGACATACTGTTTAGTACTGAGTATTTTGTTTTTAATTATTCTTTGTTAATGGAAGTGCACACACATTTGCATTGAGACCAATCACACTGATGACTAAGGGAAAGAAATCAGAACAGTGGAAGGACACCCTTCTTAAGATCACCCAAGGCCCCAAAGATGTTAGTTTTCTGTTCACTCAGAACTCTTTGTCAAGCTCAATGGTTGTTGTTGTTCAGTTAAAGGGGAGAAAATAATACTCCACATTCAGAGAAACTTCTCTTTCTCCCATTTCATGTATGCATCTATTAATAACCATTTTGAAAAAGAGTTGTACATGAGAAGTACATCCTGTTAGGAATCTGATATGAGTAAAGTCCTTCGCATTTGCACCCCTATTTTAACAATAGGTTAGATTCAGTATTTTCTGAGAGATGTTGCACTTAACTGGACATAGGTCCCGCTGAATTGAATGGTACTTGCTTCTGAATAGAAGTATGTATTATATATAACCTAGCAGTGATGAAATCAACAGAGTGATTTCTTTTGCTTTTAAAACTCATAACCTGCGTTAACTTTTAAAGACTCTAGCTGACTGGGATACAGACTGGTTAATTTTCAGAGCAGAAACCCAGCACTTTGTTTCAGCAAAACAAATAATCTTGTGAAACCTTAAAATCAAACAAATGTATTATGGTATAAGTGGAATAGATTACAGCTCAAGAGAGCTTCTACCATGAGAAATACATTTACTCCGTAAGAAGAAAGAATCCATTGTCATCTTTCCTTTGGATTACAATCCACCATCAGGTGCATGCTATGTTAATTGCACGCAATTAAATAGCAGTTGGTGCTCAGTGAAAAACGAAACATTCATTTGAAGAGAATAAAAATTCTTGGATATTTAAGAGAATCGATCTCAATTCTAAGAGAAGCAGTGCATTCAAATCCCTCGCCTCGCTTTAAAAGGCCTGTCTTTTGTTTTCTTCTGTTTTAAGCCTGCTCCTGGCACGACTGAGTTTATTAAAATAAAGAATGCATTATTAATTTGCTTCTCCAACCTATTAAGTGCAAACTGGTGAGGTGGGGTGGGGTTCTAATTAAAGCGATCGCATTTAAAAACAAATATTGATTATTCCCACCGGGTAGCAACTCTTTCCGGATTCATATCACGTGTTTGATCCTTCTAAAGTGGAAACAGGGTTTGCTGTTTAGGGAGCGGAGGAGGAAGGGAGGGGGCCTTCATGTGCGAGTGATTTTAACCTGCTCCACCTTGAACTGACCTGCCAAACGCACTTTCTTATTTTATAGACATCTGGGAATTCCATTCATGCCTTAAACGCCAATTACACACCTTCTTCAAAGGACACGTGCTTTGATATGCCAAGACCATTTAAGTCCGCCCGAAGTCTGAAAGAAAGTTCTGCAAGAGGAGAAGGAAAAGAAACGCCTTTATTCCTTTTTTTAAAAAAAATCTGTACAATGTTTACTGCCTAGAGTAGCGGGTGTGTGTTGTGGGGAAGGGGGATTGTTTAGTGAATGAATCTGACTTTTAAAATTCTCTGGGACTCACTAAGGCAAGGGCAGGGTCTGGTTTCAAGTCTGTCTTTCTCTGGTTTACTTAAAGAAGACCGAGGAAGAGGGACCCAGAGGGCAAACCGGAACCCATTTACCTGAACAGACGTGCCAGGAGTAAGCACCAATAAGCATAATAGATTATTCGCCAAAGAAAGCATGAAACTGAGCACTAACTGCAAATAGATGTGATGAAACTGAACAATAATATGCGCAAAGATCACGCTTTCATCAGTCTGAACGGATGCACAGGGTCAAAGAGTCGTGTCTAAACATGCATCTGGTGGTCAGTGCTCCTTTCTCGGGGCATCATTACCATTGTTGACATAGATATCCTCTCTTTCCACTAAGGACCTCAAAGCAGCGTACGTGGGTCTCCTCCCAATACCTTCTTTCCTCCAAATAACGCGGGGAGGCAGGCCAGTTTCAGCAAGAGACTGATTTGCCCAGTTAGCTTCCTGGCTCAGTGGAGCCTAGGACTTGAACCTCCCAGATTCCAGTCGAAAACTCTAACCACTAACCTCAGTGGCATTCACACCTTTGAACTTTCTGCCCACCTGATTCTGATCTATTGCCTGGAGTACCGAGTTGGTTGGACAGATTTCAGTCAATGGTACCTATCTGCAGGCAAGTATGCCTCCCAAGGAGGAACCTGTGGTCGAGGACTCAGCCACACCTGGGTTGCCTATACACACTGCAGTATACAGATAGTCATCCTTGGGTCCCCGGCTGTTTTCAGTTGCGCCAGGTTTCCATCCTTCAGCTTCAAGAGCAGCCTGAATACATTACATGGCTAGAGTTACATGCCTGGAGCGGACCACAAAATAAGATTTGGGCTACCCCAATCATACAATTCTAGGATCTGAGTTTAAGGCAGGTTTCCTAGGCCCCTCTCTGACACCCGACCCACAGATTCTCATCAGTTCACTACCCAGACCCTGAACCACAAAAACGCATCCTGATCGTATTTACTTGGACAGCGTGTTCCATTAACTGCAAGGAAATCTCTAAAGTGAAACGCCCATCTAAAGCCAGATACTGCTTCGAAGCATCTCTGCTGGACAGTCCTTGGGTTTTTGAACAATTGTTATTATTTTCCTTAAACACGGCATTTAAGCAGAAATGCCTGCGCTGCAGCAACACAACCCTAAGTGCAAAGATAACTATGCAGTCTAAGTATGCTTACTCAAAAGTGAAACCTAGTTCGTGCAACGGGATTTATTTCTCCACTCATGACATAAACCAGTACTGTCCAAGATTGCATTTCTGTGATTACTTTCTTAGGAGAATTTTAATTGAATATGGTAAGCATGCATAGAATTGCAGGATAAAAAAATCAAAAGTTATTTGACGATTCCGTTTTTGAATACTACAGTGGCCGTAGATCTTAATTGCTTCTGCTTGAACGGTGCGTGGATGACATTTAATGTAAGCCGCACTGTGTTCAAGCTGTCTTTTTATCTAAAATGCAGTTTTCCGAAGAAAGCTCCTTGACTTAATTGCCAGCTACTAAACCTCTTGCTCTGGTGTATGTGCACAGGAAATCAACATCTTCTTATATGTAACCCCTGCTGCGTTCAAAGAGATGATCTTCCGTACAAATGTGTATATAAGGTTATTTCCAGGAAAGCTGCGATTCAGCTCTGCCTAAATGCAGAGTAAATTTTACCGGAATGAATTTCCTATGAGTTTAGGATTCGGATGTCCACCGTGTTAAAGGCAGCAAGAGAGGAGATCCTTTTGAAATCAGGGGAATTTATCCCCTGGTTAATCTGCATTCGAGTCAATATCATGTACAGTGGATAGAGGGAGGGGCTAGGACTCAGGAGACCTGGGTTCAAATCTCTACTGGGCCAAACTTCCTGAAGTTGGGAATAGTAAATCACTCCTTGAAAGTCTCACTACCTTCAAAGTCCTATTAGGGTCGCAATAACTGCGACGCCACTGGATGGCACTTAAACATCGGATTTAAATAGAGTTTCCACGCAAGATGCTGTCTTTCACATTCCGTAGCCTAGACGCCTGCTTTGCCCCCGGGATACCTAAAGCTCCGACGCGTAAACACACAAACTCCGGCTCATGCTTTAGTTTTCCTCCAGCTCCAGTCGGATTTCCCTCAGGTTTGTTGATCCCCGCACGTTTCGAGTTGTTTTCTCCCCCCCACCACCACCTTTCAAGAAAAAAGGGGAGGGGGAAGTAAAATAAAAATTACAGATGCAGGGAAAACCGCCTGACATCATGAGAGCAGGGACAAACGCTCACTTTGAAGGATTCCTGGGCAGGACTTCAAGTGAAATCGTACGCCTGAGAAGAATTTGATCCTGGACGAGAGAAAATAACTAGGTCGGCGTTTGCCAAACCGTGGAATGTGCAAGAAAGCTCCGCGGGCTCTCGCGGGGGCCCGTTTCCAAGGCGGGCGAAGGCGGCTCTACTACCCCCGCCACCCAGGGCCATCTCTCCCGAGTCAGGCAAGGAGACGGAGCCCACCCGTCCCCTCCGCTTTGGAAGCCCCATTGCCAAACCGTTCCCGAGAGCCCTTGCGAAGAGAAGCATCATCATCACTACTACCACCACCACCACTATAAATCCCAGAATGCATTGTTCTCACCTTCTGTTTTTTTCAGTCCTGGGTTGACATTAGGTCGTCATTTCCCAAAACCATTGCCATGGCAACCAAACATGCTGGGGGGGGTTACAAGTTCGGGGGTGTGGGTGGGTCGGGGACCAAACTGGGATGTTTTGAAAGCCAGGGCATAACCCTGGCTGTTTCAACAAGGTCGTCATTTCCCAAAACCATTGCCATGACAACCAAACATGCTGGGGGGGTTACAAGTTCGGGGGGTGGGTGGGTCAGGGGACCAAAGTGGGATGTTTTGAAAGCCAGGGCATAACCCTGGCTGTTTCAACAGCAAGCGTGAATTTCTCCATAGAGGAAGTTAACCCCCCCCCACACACACACACCGAATTCATTTGGAGAGTGTCTTGGGCTAAATTAGCGGCAGTGCAACTCCAGAAGCGCTGCTTGGCTTTCCTAAGCAGGACACCTACCCTCGTCTTGAAGGGGAAGGTGGATCCATGGAGACCTGGCCAGGCAGCCAGACTGGATTCACTTCCTTATGATCCCCCATAGGGTGGACCTGCCATCAGCTAGCCAGAAAGGCTAGTCCGTAGCGGCCAAGCACCGAAGACCCCTGGACATTAAAGAGAGGGAGGAACAGAGGCCGTTCTTTACGCCTCACAGTGCCATTCTCTATAGGTTTACTCAGAAGTGAGTCCCACAGGAGGTCGTGAGACCCAAGAACATCGGTTTAGGATCTGAAAGAGATCTTCTGTCACAGGATCCAAAGGGCGCTTGCATAGCTTATCTGGCAACCTTGATAGACTTCAGTCGCTGTTGATTTTCGCGGCGCTGAAGGCGCTCAAGACATTTTACCCGGAAGCTTCCTCGTCCAATCTTAAGTACTGCATGTCATCTCTTTCTGTCTATCTCCTTTTTAATCGTGGAGCGAAGCGCTGCATTCTTAAACAAGCTTACAGGTCTCAGTTTCCCCAAAGTTAGGCCTCGTTGCAATAAAACAAGGAGTCACCTGGCATCTTAAGGAATGACGAGCCTATGACGGTACAAGCTCCAGTAGACGACAAGTCACTTTTTGCAAGCGTGGATTGCCGTCTTGATATCAGGTATACAAAAACTACACGTGGTTGAGGGTGATCAGTAAGACATACAATGAAGACGGCACATAATCCGTCCCCGCCACAGAATTCGAGAGACGGAAATTCAAACGCTCAGTTAAATTGATTACAAAAGTCCACGCTGTAATTTTTTTGTCATTCCTTAAAGGGCCACCATATTCTTTGCTGGATTTGGAAATCAACGGAATAAAGGTGGTTAAATTCGAGGTTTAGGGCTGAAATTCTCCGCAAGTTTATTTCGCATCTACCTGGAAGTCAAAGGATCTTACTTCAGTAGTACCAACACATATACTTATGCTATCATCCTATCCATACTTACCTCGGAGAAAGTCTCATTCAATTCAAGGAGTTTTTCTTCTGAGTAGACCTGTACATTATTGATTCTTTACAATGCAGTCTTAGGCATATTTATTTAGAAATCGGTGCTTAGTTCATTTTACAACTTAATAAGTGGGTTGAACACTGTAGCCGTAAATGGAGAATTTAACGTGGAGACCAGTTTCACAGATTATCAGCGAAGGGCGGAAGCCCATATTTTTCAGAACGGCGCTGCACTGGATTCGGATGGGATTAATCCAATCAAAGTGCGCACAAGATTGGACCGATACAGCTCACCCTAGATATCTTTTTTTCTCAAAAGTAAGCATTACTCTATTGATGGAGACTGCCTGCCAAACTCTGAAGTCAAAGGAATTAAATGGGAAACCATCGGCGTGAGACTGGTTTTATCTTTTCGAATTAAAAAGAAAGGATCCCGAGAGAGATGAGGCCCCTAGAAGCCAACTTCCCGGATATCCCTGCGATCTTCTTCCCCCGCCCCATACATTAAGTTGATTATAACTCCGTAGAAGAAAGTAACGTCGCCGTTTGCCCCAGAGGCAAATCCGAAAGAAAAAGAGACAAACTCGGTTTCGTATCCTACCTTTCCCTCTTGCTTGGGGTTCCGGATTCCAGGCGTCGTCATGCATATCGATTTCTGCAACCGATCTCACGCTTTCCGATGCGGCGGGGAGGGGGAGAATCCAATCGGTTCCAAAGCGAGGCCACCCTCTGTCTCTTTTTCTCTTCGTGACACGCGGTGCAACTGGAATTATTTTTTTTTCTTTATCCGATGCTGGGACCACCGCAAGCCTCCATTCTTTTTGCAAAGTCCTTGCTAATCCCTTTTAATACAAACAAACTCTGCCGGCTACCCCTCCTTCAAATAAAGTACGTAAGTAAGTCAGTTAGTAAGTAAGTAAGTAAGTAAGTAATGCACGAGCATAGGCCTGCAACACGCCACCGAAGGAGCTTAAATCCACAATAAAGGGCAATCAGTGGTTATGGAAAAACAAGAGGAACCTACATAGAAAGTCAGTGCAACCTGGGCTAAATAAACAGGGCCTTGTTTGGAAGAGACGCATCATCTTAGTTGCCTTACACCCTGCTGGTAGCTACAGGGAAACAAAACAAAAGGCAGTGTTGCAGGGGGGTACCTTTCCAGTTTTGGGGATATAATAATTCCATCGCACATCTGAGGATCAGGGAGATCTCGAGGTTTCACTTTGAACGGGCTTAGATGTAAACTCCCCGATCTGTACCGGAGGTACCCTGACACGCTTCGCAGCTACATCCTAAATTCACGTGAGCAGGAGGGAGTGCAAGCTGATGTACAGCCGGCTGCAATGCATGCATGGTTTTCTCAAAGGGAAGCCCTGTGGATTTCAAGCTTCGCTTGTTACCGCTCGGTAGGGATGTGTTTGCTCATAGGACGCCATGGTATTTACGTCCAGCAATTCGCTTCCTTATTTAGTTTTGCTTTGGAGTCCCAACGCACAGAAGGGATCACACCCATTGCCTTTAAGGCGGATCGATAAATACGCTTTTAAGAAATTCATTCAGGATCCTGCGAAGACAATAAGGAATGCTAGATGCGTTGTTGTTCTCTTCTCCTGGAACAACAAACAATTTCGATCCCTTCAACGGTGGGATAGGGGGCTGATCTTTCCTACTGAGGAAAAGAACAACAGAAACTATGTAAATAATATAAGGGGCTAGTAGCCACTTTCACCTGAGCTTACTTCTAACTGACCCAGCAGCCAGGTATCATCACATTTATTATTCTGAGGGAAGGATCTCTCTCTCTTTCTCTTTCTCTGTGTGTGTGTCTCACACTCACTCTCACACACAACTAGAATGAATAGAATTTGCAAGCCACGTGTTAAGACTGAGAGTCTATTTGGCCTATTTTCCTTTGTTGGCATTCGTCATTAGTGTGAATGACAGCAACAAAAACGAAACGCTGAGGCCGCTTTTTGGGCTCGGGGCTTATTTTTGGGCTGCGATCCTATATTCGCTTCCAGGGGAGTAAGTCCCGCTAAATTCAGAAGAACTTGCTTCAGAGTATACATTTGTAGGAGGACGTTATAAAGCTGTTGATCGTTAGTGGGTGACCACAGTGATTCAAAGCTACACAGCTGACAATAAATTATCCTCGGCTTTGAAAACCAGCCTATCCAGAGCCTAGCGAGGTCCCTTCGGGCAAAATCAAGAGGATTCTTTTTCTTACGAGTAAATCTATTTGGAAGACCTTCAGTTCCCCGCTTCACTGTTTACAAATGCAGAAACAAAACTTGCCAGGTATGTGGTTTAGAGTGAAGACTTCTCCCACAAACCTAAGATACCCCACCCCGCTAAGCATCTTTCTCTGCCTTAAGTTAGAAAGAGAAACAGCGGTCTACCAATTTAACACAGCCCTCAGAACAGTAATCAATATAGATCGGAGGAGTGTTTTTTTTAAAAAAAAAATCGTACACACTATTTTCTTACACTTCAGTATTAAAATAACAATATTGCCTATGTGGCCTTTTTGATTGAAAGATGGAAAGAATCAGAAGTCCAGCAAAGCCTCAAACAGAATCATAAAGCTGTCTGGATAATTAACACTCCTGTGTCTGTCAGTAGCTAGTTTATTTGCGTTTTGCTGTGGTTTGTTTATATTCCAACCCCCTCCGACCCTCGCCCTTTACTCTCCTGGGTGACTTCAGATCTACCCCATCCACGATTATTTACCTTGCGTTTCAAGCCTCTTTTCCCCTGTACAGACCAAACTTTAAAATTCTTTGAACATTTCAATGTATTTATTGCAGGAAAAAAAAATACAATGATATTTACAAAACAATCATAAAAATAGGAATGCATTTAGACACCGGATCTATTTGCATTTTAACATGGGTCATCAATAAATAAATAGTGTCATTTTTGCCCTCCCCTCCCCTTTTGTTTTTTTCAGGAAGAATTAAAACAAAACAAACCTAGAATGAAAAAAGAACCGGTTAGGTTTGGGTATAAGAGTTTCAGTCGATAACGTTATTACTACCCTACACACTTTTTTAAAAATAGTTTTTCCTTTCTCACTCGTTCTGAACGGTGTATTTCGGATTTCATGGTTACTGAATCTGGTCAAAAAGAAAAAAAAAGAAGAGGGAAGTCCACAGTAAGGTATTTCCTTTCACGAGTGGCTCATAAGGTCTCTTGGGAATGCATGCATGCAAGAAAAAAAAGTAAGGGGGAGGGAGAAAGTTAAAATTCCAACATTCTTCGTCAAAATAGAAAAATAAAAACAAACCGGTTCAGATTTCTATCAGAATGCAGAGACGTCTGTTAGGCAGCTCAGCCTTCTCTCTGGATCAGCCGCCTCGCCGTCCGAGGCGTCCTCGGTCTCTCGCCTCAAACGCTCTCCCCACACCCTGCTCTTTGCAAGCTTGGCCAAGTACGCTTCCAAATTTCCAAGAAAATCCTTGGCGTTATATTGTCTTAGTGGGGGAAAAGAAAGAGGGGGGCGAATCGAAGTGCAGAGTCTCTAGATTGTCCATTTTCTTTCCTTCTCTGGGAACAATGTCATCTGCAAAAACCCAGAAAGAGAAACAGAGGAGGCGGGGAAGGGTTATTGGAGACGGAAAATTCAATATATTCTGTCAGAAAGGGACAGAGTAATAGAAAGGAAACCTCTTCCCTTCCCCACAAAGCCACTCAATATTCCCAAACTTTACAATGCTTAATTAAAAGCTGTGCTAAACAATGGCCAAAATCCTGTTGCTTTGGGTGGTAAATAGCACTAGAGCAAGCATATTGGATCAGTGGGGTGAGTCGATTCTTCTGAACGTTTCATTGATTCAAATGGGCCTGCTCTGCTTGTGGCTTACTACACTAAGGGACAAGAATTCAGCCAATATTGCTGGCTCCCTCCCTCCCTCTCTTCTCCTTTCCTCTCTCTTTCTCTCTGCATGTGTATGCATGTGAGTTGGGGCCACGGTGGTGTTAAAAGCACAAAGGAAGGAGGGGGAGGGGAATCTTGGCAAGGCATGAAATTAGGAATGCAGGAGAGGGAAGTGTCACGGATATCTAGGCGACTGTAGCGTATGGGGGACACATGATCCTCCTGGAACTCAAAACAGAGCTACTTGTCCCCCGTTGCAGGTCCCTTTGGATTTCAGGGTAGCTTACTTCTAGGGAAGCCTGTTCTAGTAAGCACTAACTGGGTCTAACAGGGAGCCAGTCACACTTTAGGCTGGGAGATGGATCGGGTCCCATGAAGGCTGAAAGAATCCAGATCTGTGAAAATCTACCTACTGGCTTCTCCGAGCAATGTCCTAGACCCAAAGAGCTTGACCCACACCAAAGCACATGCGGGTCTCCTATTCTTTTCATGATAGTTCGGGTATGGAAGGGGGGACTAGCCCAGTGTCCCTTCCAGTGAGCACAGCGCCCAAGGCAACAAGGGGGAGCTCTGCTAAAGAACCAGAACATCTCTGAACATAGGCAGAGTTTGAATAAAGTGACTTTGATGTATGGGAACACTCGGGATCACCCAACCAGTACAGCCAATGGACCTCTGTGTGTGTGTGTGTGTGTGTTTGTGTGTGTGTGTTCGTGCGCGGTGGTGGGGGGAATGGGTTGTGCTATGTAGTCCCAATTGGTAACTTCTTTCAAACTCTGATTTCCGGGGTCTCACACTTTACCCAAGTAGGAAGAACAACGTTCAAACAGTTCAGTCTGCTAATTGTAGGCCTTACTGCCTTGACTCCTCCATGGCAAGTCCTCCTCTGTCCTCTATTTTTTTTTTAACCTCTCAAGGCTACCTGAAAATGTGCAGTTCAAAAAGTGTCCCAGTGCAGTTCAAAGAGACAATGGCGAGGGGTGGAGGGAAAAAACAAGAACAATGCTAGTGAGCCCATAGTTTAAGGGAAAGATCTTAGAAATCCCCGGGAACTTATAGATCAGAACGTTGCTCTAGAAAAGGAGTTTCTATCTCCTTTTAGCCTTGCCCAGTCCCTGTTTTTTTTCACCCAGTTACCCAGCCCAAAGCCATGGTCGTTGAGTCTTCATTAACCCAAGTTGCTATCCTGTGCTTGCAGATTTGCTGCTCGTTGGGACCTACTTCCAAATAACCATGGGTGTGATCCAGCCGGTGACCCTTTCTTTCATGAACTCACGCTTTCTACACCATCCTAAAATCCCTTTCCAAAAAGACTGCCCTCCCACGTGATTGCCTCAATTCCATGCGACTTTGAATCCACAAGGCCGCAGATCAGGGGGACCTCCAGCACAGCCCCAGATACATTTACTTGGCATTAACAGCCCACCCCCCTATACCTTAACATTAGGAAATAGGTGTTGCCCAATCCACAACTTTTCTGGACAACCATCAGCAGCAGCCAATCTAGTCCTACTCAAGCACGTTTCCAAATTAAGAAACACTGTTTTTTTCCCCCCAGTGGCTGAAATCCAGTAGTAAAGGCTGTGCTTTAGAGTAAATTAAATCTTGGGCCTCTAGAGTAGGCCCACTGGATCACTGGAGATTTGATGAGTCAACTCGTCCAAAATCTCCATTGATTCAGCAGGCCTACCCTACTGGTGACTTACTACAGGATTTTAGCCTCTCTGTGGTTAATATAGACAGGCTCTAGCCAAGGACCAGTAAATCAGGGTGACTTCCTTTAGTTCCAAATAAACAGATTTATAGCCTAGTTCCATGGATGTTTTCTCTGAAAAACATTTTGCTTTCAAGTGTGACTTTATCCAAAGTAAGGGGGCAGAAGGTTGCTGCACAAACACTGAAGTGAGAGTATATCTAGGACTCTGACACACTGGTGCTACCAAGGTTTAGACAGCAGTATTATTAATTCAAGTTATTGCCATTTAATACAGTGTGACCTACTTGCGAGTAAAGGTACATAAGTCCTGGCTGCTGTCATAAAAGCTAAACATAAGAAATCAATAGACTTTAAGTTATTCTTAATTAGTCCAATGCATTTCACCGAGTCTACTCTAAGTAAGACTAAGGTGGAATTCCACTCACAGTAGGAATGGCTGCAAAAAAACTCTTCGAAATCAGTGGGGCCTAATGATGAAAAAGCATGAAAATACACTAATGGGGGGAAATATCTGAGCGTGAGGGTATCTCCCATTACCTTTCTTGAAAAGTGGGGTGAGAAAGAGAGGGCCTATGAAGCAAAGAAGCATTTGAATAGATGATGGCTGAATAAACTGTTTGGAGCAACCCTACATGAATCCCCCTAGTAGACGGACAAACTGTTTGGAGCAACCCTACATGAATCCCTAGCAGACATCTTTGCTAGATCGAGTTGAGGCTTCTTGTTATGGAAATCCCGCTCACCCAGAAACCCTCCTCACAAGTAAGTTTCGCTTGGTATCACAACCTTCCCCAAACCCTTCGGTAAGCTGATCCCCCGGGAATCCATGCGAGGTTCTCGCGAGAGGGAAGGAAAAGAGGAAAGGAAAGAGAAGTGTGTTGAGGCTCTCCGCCTTCACAGGCTGTCGCTCGCTGTCGCGTTGGGACAGAGTTACTGTACGTGGAAATCAACTGGGAGCTTCCTAAAATGTCATTGAAAAGTCCACAAGATTTTTTTTTTCGTGAGACCTAACGGAAAATTACATTTTCTCCACTCCACAGCTATACTAAAATATGGGGGCAGGAAGGAGCGGACATACTTTTCGGTTGATGGCATATTACTTCGGGCTGACTTTCCCGTGTGAGTAGGGGCGCCGAAGTCACCTCGGTAAGAAAAGGAGCTGCGGATCATACAGGGGGATCCGGCCTCTCTTTCCCGCAGAGAGGCAGCTGGAAAGCTTCGTACCGTTCCAAGGCAGCCTCTTAGGAAAAGCCACCTCAGTTCCCTCGCGCTGAGGGGACGGCCTTCCCCACAAGCATCGGTACAAGGCCGGCTTTTGCCAGGCACCGATCCTGCAGGACGATGGCTCATCGGATTTCGGGGTGGGAGTCGCAACCGCTGGACTTTTTGCAAGAAGAAAAGCTTTCTCTTATCCCTGGCTTTACAGTGGAATCTCCTTCTAAGGAGACAATCCTTAGAACCCGTTACATTTAAAAGCATCGCAGCTTTGGGAATGCTTAGCCACCCGGATCTCCAGCACCCAAGGCGTATTCAAAACTAGGTTTGCAGAGATGATGTTCCTAGGGCACCTTCTTCAAGGACGACCACGCTCCTCCTCTAGGCCTACCCTGGTTTCCTTGTCTTGACCCTTTCCTCTGCAAGGAGTCTGAGGACTAGTTCTTAGAGACTGACACCCCCCCCTTCTCTGCCCTCCCTCCAGGCTTCAAGAAAGGGCTAAGTCAGCCTGTACACCAAGCCTTAGGTGGAAGAGGAAGGTTCAACAAGCATCGGAGGGGCCCGCGATCCTAAACCTCTGGGGGGAAAAATGGAAGAGCTCCTTCCGCCCTCCACGGCTCAGGCTAGAGAGGATCCTTAGAGATCCTCTTCCCCAACACGATCTCATAGGAACTGCAGTTCCTTCGCGATCCCTTCGTGGCGGTGATATGCTCTGGAAATGAAGGGGGTCTTCAAGGCCGAACGGCCCTTTACCGGCCTAAGTCGTCGCCTTTCTAAAAGTGGGAGATGGACGGGGCTTCCTCGCGAGGAAGAGCCCCTCCCCATCCCCATTAAGGCCTGGTCTGGCCTCTTAGATGGAAGGACTCAACGGCTTTCTCAGGGAACCTTTGACGTCCAGTCTAAAAAAGATCCCGAGCCAAGCTCTTCCTGGGCAGCGTGACTCTCAAGAAGTTCCCTTTCGATCCAGTGGAATGTGAGGCGACAGAGAGCAGAGGAGACCGGAGAAGGGTTGAGGGCCGCTTCCTCGCGAGTCAGCAGGAGCCTCCCTCAGGCCCGCCTGCGCCTCGTGTCTCCCTCGATTCCCCGCAGCCTCCTTGCCCTCCTTGCCCCCCACCCTATCCTACCCCACCGCACCCCGAGAGGTGCCCTTCCCCTTACCTAGGTCTCCGGCTGGGCCAGGCGGCGGAGCGGGAGGCTAGTGGGAGGCTGACATGGACCAGGCGCCTTCCATGCGCCAGACGGAGAAGGCGTAGCTGAGGCGCTCGTGGGCCACATAGCTGCAGCTGGCCATCTTGGAGTCCAGCTCGTCGCTCTGCAGAACTTGGTAGAGGAAGTCGATGTAGCGGGCCGCCAGCTTGAGCGTCTGGATCTTGCTCAGCTTGTCCGACGGCAGGGTCGGGATGATCTTGCGCAGGGCCGCGAAGGCTTCGTTCAGCGACTGCGTGCGCTGTCGCTCCCGGACGTTGGCCATCACCCGCTGCGTCTGGAGCTCCTCGTAGGACTGCG